TGAATTTACAAGCTAAAAATATATGTACAATGGTAAACTTTATTAGCTAAACCTTATCATATTTATATAATATTTTTCAAGCAATTTAATATATTGTAAAGAGTTGGGAAAAAGTTTTGGTTGAGATTATCTATAACTGTTAATATTATACAAGAATTCTTTCAGATATAACTAACTTCAAGGTTTATAAATTATCTGATGATATTTATAGAACCAATGATTTAAGCCTTAATGAACTTATTAGTTCACTTAATAATACGTATATTATTTTTCTAATTTTATAAAAGTTGATGAATTATTTATAATAAGTAAGGAGAATCTTGTTTATGAGGTTCTTCTGAATAACCAAATTATTAAAGAGTTTGTATATACATTTAGAAGAAATAAGAGTGTTGAAATTATAGATAATGAAGATATTGAAATCATTGATAATGAAAAGGATAACAGCATTGAAATTGCAATTGTTAGTAGTAGTTTTGTATTAAGTAATCTAAAAAGTATTTAGGCTTTTTTGCTTTAGCAAAAGAGTTCAAACAAGCAATTAAAGTTAGTTAATTCTCTTGAAAAATTTATTAAAGTAAAAATGGTTAAGTCTGCTCAACAAACTTGTATAAATAATTACTTTAAATAAAGAAATTACACTTTATTTAATTTATATTTAATGTATTTATTTTTTTTTTTATTTTTATTTTTTTTAGTGATTATGTTATATTTATTTAGAATTAAAGTAGTTACATTATCAAATACTATTACTACTTCTGGTATTAATACCTTATAACTAAAATACAACTTGTCTAGTTACCATGGGTACTTATCCGTGATCTGCCAAAACAAGAGTTTGTCTTCTCCTTGCATTAGGGTTACCTGCTACAGGGGTTCACTGACTGGATATTGTAGCCAATTATAATCGTATCCTTCTTTCTTTACAATTTTTTCTACCTAGATCTGGCAGAAAAGTAAAACTCTTACTTTTATCCAAGAAGAAAACTCACTAGCTACAATTACAAAAGAAATTTAAAAGCTCAAAGCTAGTTTAGGAAAAGAGAGGGAAAAGAAAAGAAAAACAAAGAAGAAAAACAAAAAAAAGAAAGAAAAGAGAAAAAAAAAGGAACAAGAAATAGAACCTAAACTCTATTCTATTATAACTAGAAAAGATGAAAAAAACATAAAAGAAGAAAGAAATGAACACAATCTCAGTAGCATTATTATGACCTGTGCCAGGCTTAAAAATTATATATTAAATGCAACATTTGTATATCTCTACTGTAAAGCTATACCTTAACGAAAAGTTTCTTCCTGACTATCCGAACATTCGTGTGTAGCTTATTAGATAGAGGCCTCGTCACGTGGAGTAGCGCTGTATTCGTCAGTAAACAAAACACGTGGTTGCAATCTACTGTGGTGTCTCGATTTGTATAGAGTAAACAATGCCGATCTTTTGACGGGGGTAAGCTGTTTTGCCCACTTTTTGCGGAAAATTTGTTGAAAAAGTAAGTGGGTGATAGTGTGGAGTATAGCCCTTGTACTTTTCTTAAAAGAGTGTATATTTT